TTCGCCAACGCGACGAGCTGTAAATCGTGTCTATGACAAACGAAAACAGAAAACCCCACCTTTCGCTCAATTCCTGAGGGCTTAGTAGTGTTCAAATGTCCAAATGACATGGAAAGCCATGATGACAGTTGAAAAGTGGCAGATCTTCGTTGAATGTGAATATGAAAAACTACCAACCTCATGCAATAGATTTAGGCTTTGAAGTCAGAGATGTGTAAAGATGGCGAAGAAAGCGTGTGAGATTTTTGTGTAGTTGGCAGGTGTTTCTTAGGTAAATCTAATCAGCAACATTGTTTTCAAAATACATGGTTCTTTTCCCTTAAATTTGCTTGAGCGCAAAAGTAAAATAACAGCTTCATTAACCTACCCAGAAAAATCATTTAACTGAAGGTCGATACATACGTTTTGTTCACACAAATTAGCATCACAGTTCAATATAAGCTATGATAAATAAATAATCAGGGGAATCCTTCGGCGATTTCAAGACGCAGACACTAGGAAACCTTTGATGAATGACAGGGGGTGCCACATCACTGTTTGCACCAGAAAAGTAAACTGCAAGGGGGGCAACCATTATGGGTAGCAGCAGCTGAAGCACAAAAACAGTGCACGCGCGTATAAAGACGGAGCTGATCAGTGGGACAATACGAGTTAGATTTTGCTTCAGGTCTAATAATTCTAAGTTAACTTCTGTTTGATGTGATTACTTTCTGAAGACTGGTATGGTAGAGATGTCTCAGTGGACGTATATGTAACACTTTAAAGCAGAACGAATTCGAAATGCTTCCCTCCCAGTACTAACTTATGTTGTGAAACCTGTCATCTACCTGAGTCCCCAGCACGTTCAGCTGCCAGTGTGATCAGATAAAACCAACATTGTAGAATAACAACAGGAAGATATTTAATCTGCCTGGTCTCCGCGGGGTCCGAGCGATCTGTTGTAGAATGTTGATCCTAGTTGCACAGAGAACACAAGGTTAATCGAGATATCAAACGTTTTTTTTAAAGTCCCTTTACGCACTACATTTACAATTTTTTTTGAAGTTTTTCTCCTACTAGTTAACTACTCTCTGTGAAGCTCGGACAGAAAAGGGTGTCACTCCAATATCTTAAGAGAATCAAACTTCAGTGATTTCATTTATTACTTCGTATCATTACGGCACCAAAAGATATGACAACTTTGTAGGTAGATTAATTCTATTCACAATGCTGTTTTGACATTAGGAATCCTAATTGGAATACTTTGCTGCATCATTTACATTTGAAGGTTATGTGTAGAGTGTCACCGACTCACTAAGGAAAAAATAGCAAAGCGTAGGTCCATATTTTACATTTGAAGAATGATTAGTTGCAGAAATAGATTAGATTTGACGCTGCTAACGAAAAATGAAATCAGGGTTTCCCAGTCTAAAATGCCGGAAATGCACTTATGGAGTCTGGAGCAGTACAGTAACAAATTTGATTGCTAATAACGCCATAGATTAAACTGGTTAAAATGGTCCAGTCTAATCTGTGTAAACGTTAGTTGCTTGGGCAAAATTAAAACGTTTGGATAGAGCATCTGTTATAACATTTTTCTCAGTAAAGATGTGCAATGCTCCAGGAAGGTCCTCCGAGTCAAAATTCCACTGGGAGTCCTAAAACTTAAGTGAGGGCTTGTAATCTCACTACATTATACATGTCTGCTACCCGATGCAGACCACGAGTTCTACTATCTAAAATGCAATCCAGTTGGCAATGTTCCTATTGTAAGCCCATAGATAAGACGTTATAGCGTCAGAATTCACGAGCGTTTCTGTAGTTTCCACTCTTTTCACACCGAAGTGTTGAGCATAAATGAATAACAGGAAGCATTTTGATGCTTTTAGCAAGAACGGGATGCGCGAAATTGATTGCGCTTGTGTGTATTTATAGTAATGCCCGTGGTAAAAGTATTCTAGTGTCACCAAGGATAAGAGAATTTTAATCTTCAGCTTTATTAAAGGTATACGATTTGGTACAGAGTTGTACAATAATCCACCCGGTCTACATTTAAGAAGTCACAATCTGATTTTTTGCACAGTCAAGATTTATGCTGTTGCTCAACAAAAAGATTACCATCCTTTTAGTTTTCGGACGGTTGTGGTGACACATGCAATTGGCTTCAGGCGGCAAGCTAGTGGAAAAAGGAAAACTGTAACATCCGAATCAGATTTTCAACAGCACAGAATCGGCTAAAGACACGATTTGTCGAACTTCTTCTTGTTTCGATACATCTATCAATCCCTCGTTTGATGGCAAACATCTCCAAGTTAGATTTGCAACAAATGCTACAACAGTTTCATCAAAACACTAAAGCATCACTCGCTGAGTGAACGTTTGCGATTACCGTATCCTTAATTCCTCTTTTGCTTGATCCGGCTGGCGCTGAATAGATAGTTTTACATACTTTTATAAGTTGGTGCAAAAGATTATGTTTTACGCAATCAATTAATTACATCTATGAGGTTTTGGAAATGAATACAATCACGTGTCTTACAAGGAGGGGGATTAATGGTAAAAAAATAGGACACAGAAAGTGGGTTACCTAAAAACAATCGCTTACGAAAATTTTGCTTTACCTAATGACGGACTCTCTAAAATGAAGTGAATCGGTAAAGAAGTTGATCTGAAAGCAATAACCGAAAACTCAGTTGCTTTTGTTGTTTTACTACAACTTGAAGATCAGAATTTCCACACAGATGTTAACACAGCTCTTTCTAAAAACGTGTCGCGTTGACACACCTGATTCACAAGAGGATCAGCTTGTTATGCACCTTTATTTTCTTGACTAGATTAAAATAAATTACTCTTTCTGAAAGCAACCAGAACATGCGGCCAGGAGCGTGTAGACATTCTGGTTCATAGCTGTAGGATTGGATATTAAGAAAGATTTTCTTAAAGTTCCAATGTAACGACCTCATAATCAGTGAAACGATTGGACAACCTACGGGAAAAGTGGTCGTTCCTAAGATAAACTTTTATATGGAACTTTAAAAGGTTTTCGACGTCTCTAACCGAGGAAGTTAAGATACATTGCCATTCTGCATTCACGTATAGGAAGTAGACTGCGATGGCAAGCCTGGTAGATTAAACTGACCTAGTGGATACAAGTCGAGCAAATGCGCGCCAGTATTTGAGGGAATAATGGGTAGATTATGGATGAAAAACTAGGAACTCCGGAAACAAGCATTTTTCAGATATTGGTTATCAGCACCTCTGCAAAGAGACATTGATTAAATGCCAATGCCCCCCTTAAGGCAATGACAACTAGGATGAATAAATCTAGTTTGAAGATGCTTCATATTTCCGCAGCATCTTCAGAAAAAACACTGGTCACCTCCCCGAGGAACATTTATAAAAATCTTACCTTGCAACTGAGTGTTTTGATACAGTCTTTGTTCGGCGCGGTGTTCACAGTTCTGGATCTACGGATTATAAGAGATGAATTATATCGAAAGAGGTCTGCACATAATTGGGAAGTTGTATTCACTTGCCGAACATAATTTAGTAGGGAAAGCTGTGGCGGGGTACCTCAGGCAATTTTGCTCGGTTAAAGAGGAAAAAATTACAGCTAACTGGGATGGATTGATCGGATTCGACTTTGGTTTTTTGCTTTAAGTTGCCTAAAAATTTTTTCAAGATTCTGTCGATTTCTTACAGTGATTTGATAATTTCCACACTTCAAGAAATGAAACGCGCAGCCAAAATGAATTTTTCGCTTGAAAAAAACAAGGAACCGAAGCATAAATCTACTGCATTCTTCAATCTTTTACATCAAGTATACAAACCGCCAATCTCTAAAACTCTAGTGTCCATAAAACGAAGGCAGTATCATGCTTTCACCTTGGAAACTTTGTTAGCTATACACTTGATAATCAAAGGTACTCAATTAGAAGTGACCGACCCGGATATAAAACTAATGTTTTTCCACTTAACTAAGTTAATCTGCCGTATAAAAAAGTAACGAGTTCCTTGGAAAAAAGTGCGTTCATACAACACTGCTGTACCACTCGTCTCTGTGCATAACGCGCAGACATGGCATTCGCACGTCTTACAAGCTTGATAACTAGAATGCTAGCTTATGCCTATCGTCATAATTTTTTAACAATTTATGAGCTGTTACTCTCTTAGTGGTGTGCAGTTCCAGTTAGTATATAAGTCCTACATGTAAATGCAAAACAATCTTAAACACCGTTTGTTGTGCTGTAGGTTTCAAAGCTCATCCCAAAAGATTTTTGGAGATAGGGTATTCAGAACGGCCGCCACCAAAGTAACCCAAAAAGGGACTAGATGTATGGTAAACACACTTGACAGCTATGATTACATCCAAATGCAACATGTAAATCACTTGATTTAAAAAGATTTTTATAACCAAGTGGACCAAATCCTGTTTCCAAACAAAAATGAATTCAACTTCATATGCTCAACGAAGTCAGGTACATCTCTCCTCATTGCCATGGACCTGTGGAGATCTATGCACCGGTCAAATGTGGACCGCAATATTCCGTCATGTTGATTCGAATGGTACCATTAGCTTCACTTATGCCATTGAGTTGGATGATGCTTTTTACACAGCTAATTTAATGGATTTAACCGTGTTGAAATTAGGTACGAGTTGGTCATTACGGATTTATACGTAGTAGTATCCACACAAGCCCATCGAGTGACCCTCACACAGGTACGCCTTGAGCAAACTGAGGCAGTAGAATTGACCTGCATGCACTTTTCAATCCTCATGTGGTCACTATTAGAGACCAATGCCACTAACCGGGTAAATACAATTACATATGTGGTTGGTTGTTTATGGCGTACCGACCAGAAAACCGTTGAGCTCTCATTGGTCATGTGCTTGCGTGATGCGATTGGTCAGCTGATGCCATGCAAAACGTCAAGGAGAAAATTTATCCTGATATTCCATAAAATTGCGAGAAACGCTTGAATAGTGACACCAATTTTCCCGTTATCTTTCATAGTTACTAATGCCTTCAGTCAGTTGTGGATTTCCGGTGAAAAATATTCAGTCGAGCGTCAATTATTTTCGTGCCTACGTAACTCCCATTCTGACAATTGTAGGCGTGTTTGGTAATGCAGTTGCACTGTACCTATTTGCCACACATCAACCACGAAATCGTTTTGCAATCTACGCAATGGCGTTGGCAATATCAGACAGTCTGGTCTTGCTGTCAAACTCTTTTTTGGATGATTTTGTTGGCAGTGGGCTTCCGTTTCTTAGCAACGGCCGTCTTGGTGTGAAATTAGACGCATTGTCCGTAGAAGCCTGCCGCTTGATGGAGTTGACCGGATTTTGGTTTATTTTTACTTCCGGATCGCTTTTGGTGGCATTCAGCTTGGACAGAGTGGCTTGTCTATTTCGACCGATGCAGTGCCGGACTAACGAAGGAATAAAGCTGGCATTGTTGGTTTGTGGGATCATCATGGCCCTGGGCCTGCTCCTCGGTTTACCTCAGGTTATGCTATTTGAGCTTTCCGACCGCCCCACCGCAAACACGACACAAGCCTACCTCTTCAGTAAGTCGTGTAAATTATCTATCGGTAACCAATTATGCAGCTTTGGGTTGTCAGAATGCAGTTGTCAGATGGCTGTCTTCACGGAAACAAGTAGGCACATTTTGTGATGGAGAACACCGTCTGTAACATACTTTCAAAAGCATGAACACATGGAATAGGTTTTGCCGCATTTGAGGAGGAATAAATTGAATGCATAACTAGATATATTTTGCAATCCAATCTTAAGAAAACCACTTGTATATGTATGAAATTCATATTGCTTTACAGTAGTATATGGCGCATAGATGCTCTCATAATACATCAGATGGAATGTAGAAATACAGTTTGGCTAAACTGCGTAGTTTTGTGCCCCCACACTTCAACAGCAGCTGGACTATCTACACGGGCACGTAGTGGAATAACACTTCGTCTGTTTGTTGTGTAAATGCTTTGACACATTGTTAAAACGCAATTGTTTAGTGCTTTACAGCGCAATTCACATGCTAGCTCAAAAGTCAAAGAGGCGGTTGCAAATAAATCGTTATTCTCAGTAGACTTACTCGTAGTTTTCTATGCAACATAAGCTAAAAATACATTCTCCCATGTCTTTTTTATTGCTACTTAGTTCAAAACTAAATTAGTCTGGATATCACTATACATAATACAGGTAGAAACAAAGTTAATTTTTGATCCCGCATAAACAAGTTCAAGAAATTTAGAGTGAATATATCAAGTGCTTGTTCATTATTAAATGCCGTTCCTAAGGTGCATGAATACATTCGTGTCTAGACAGGTCGTCAAGAGAATTAAATGACCACCCATTACTTGAAATGTGACACACGTAACACTAGCGAAATGCCTGATATTTTAGTTTTTACAGAGGACACATTGCCGAATACGGTGACTTTTATCGCTCAAATAAAACCACAAGTCAGAAGTAGATTCTTATTTACAGAAAATCTTTGAGCGCAACTGAGTTGTAATTGTTATTTGGAGCCAGGTACTTGCACTTTGTCGATGGTCATTTTATGCGTACACATTGGTTTTTCACCTGGAAACTGCGACTGGATAAAACAATTCTCTTATTGCGGAATTTTATCTACAGTATCAGTATGTTGGTGTGGTTTGTCCTTCTTCTACTGTATGGTTTTGATGGTATTATCCCTCTGCGATGCACTTTCGACAACTTCGCTTGAGTTATGAAAAAGGTGTATAAACGCAGTCCAAACAGTTGGCACAAAAGCAAACTTAGGACAGGACAGTAGTGTTTTTAAAGGGGCGGTAATATAAAATAGAGGGCATGTTGTTACTTGGATGAATTTATAGTATATTATCCAAAGTATTGGAATTNTTGGGGCAGGACAGTAGTGTTTTTAAAGGGGCGGTAATATAAAATAGTATATATATAATATATACATATATATATATGTATAATATATAGTATATTATCCAAAGTATTGGAATTCTCGTTTGTGCGTATGCTTTAAATTTGTAGTGTTTCGTTTTGTACACACCTAATTGGATAATCTTGGTCATTTCTAACCGCACAATGGAACATAAAGAAGTTTTGCTTAATTCCCAATTGAAATTTTGAAGGAAATCATAATGCTAAAAATATTTTACTCGCTCCCTGTTTGTGTGTTGAGGTGAACATGGAATACAGTTAGTTTGTTTTAATGAGGCATCCAAAAAACACCGGTTCAAATGAAAGTAGTGATTCAAAAATTACAGCTCTTTTTCGAAAACTAAATTTCAGGAATCTTTATATCTGCATTGAAAATTTCATTCGTATGAGTTAATCAATGAACAAATATAAAATAAATAAAATATGNATGGTTTCCGGCCACCACCACCTGATATTAATGATGATGCCTTAGAGGTTTGGTGAGGATGATGATGTCATGCAGCACTAATATACCTGCGTTGGTTATGGATACAAACACACTGTTTTACAGGCTATAAACGTTATTTCATGACTTCAATTTATCAAAATTACCGTCGTGTAGCGTTACGACTGCCTCTACTATATTCCACAATTTTACTCAAAAATGAGGGTACTTCGTCAATACTACAAAACTCAACAGAACACCTGTTAAGGTAAAAATGACTTGGTTGTCTTGTGCGGAGATGTTGGAATTGAATGGAGAATGTAATGGGAAAATCTATGCTGAAAAGCGGACATGCAATGTACATTTTTGCAGTTCTTTTTGAGGATAAGTGGCAGTGTGCACCTCACGGACTTCCAGATTGTAGTGAAGTGGAGATCCCTTGTCCAAACAATGGAAGTGTTATTCATGCTCAAGCGGCATAACGACTTTGATATTTTGTTACATAAGTTTTTAAATGGCTGAAGCCTGTGGGGTTTGCCAGTAAGCTACAAAAATGAAGTGGTCTGCAACATTGCCGTGATTGGATTGAATTTTTACAACGTTTCAAACCTATTTTTGGTGTTCAAAAACAATAGAAGTGCATGTCCACTCAGGTCATCAATATCCGTTAACACCGGAATCAGAAATTTCACATTACATCTTAGCCGAGAGTTTTTTCTCTATTTTGCAACGTGTTGTACCCGACTGAAAAACATCCAGGTCCTCTCCATTCTAGAACAACTATGCCTCAGGCAAATGTCTAAATTCTGTTATTTGTTGTGTTGCAACTGTTGGATGGGTTCGGCTCTTCATTGGAGGAGAAAAACGATCCGAATTTCGTTGATTCCGGTGTTGCGTCTTCTCAGTCGTGTGGTCGGGCTGCTTCCGGCCCTTTGGGCACACACCACCACACCTTCATCACAGGATTTAGCTGGCTTCTGTATGAGATGATATGCTCACAACCGAAAATCGATGTCATGTTTAATTCCGTCAACCGTGTTAGCCAAGCACCACTGGTTCATCATCGAGCTCTACGAACAGATATGAAAGACGCTTTACTCAGCATTCACCATCTTCTTGGAAATGAGTTGAAGTAGTTATGCATGAGAGCATCTAAAGCAATATGAACTGAGATGTCAAATACCGTTAGAACATTTGCCGGCTTTAATGCTTAAAAATATCTTTCGAAGTGAATGCTACTTTTGAAAAAGTAGGAGTCGTGTTTACCACTCCCTTCTCTGCATTCTTTTATTTATATGAGTCTGGATCCTAGCAATTTCCAGTAATGCAAGATCTCTAGATTGTGTACTATCACGATGCATACGTTTCTCTGGCTCTACATTGTGCTTGTTCTCCCACGACTAATTTGTGCTTATCAGGCGATGAAATGTCTGATAAGTCATTTTAACCTTTGTTTATTGTAACTGAATACAGTCAAGTTAATTAATACAATTGCTTGCTTGAATAAAACAGTCCACAATTTTAAGGAACGTGAGGTGAAACAGCCTAATCCTTAACACTTTTTGAAGCCTTTTTCTTCCAGCTCACATAAAAGCTAATGTGATGGCCTCATTTTCCACCTGTGTGTCTAGCAAAATATAGCCAGTTTTCATTGCCCTTTGTTGAATTCAAGTAAACTATGTGAATGACAGGTTTTCAACTCCTGTAACTTAGTTGTCTAAATCTGAGATGTCAACCGGGTTTCAACTGTCCGCATGTATGATGGATGTGAAGAAGGGATCAGACGTTAATAGATGACAAAATACTGATATAATTGAGAATTTAGATTATACGAAAGATAATGCACAATATATGAATTTATCTCCAGATCCGTATGCCATCTGATGCGATTCACAATTTATCTGTGTCCCAGTAAATTGAAAAGAGATTAATAACACCTCTGGTATTTAGCTTGCTTTTACTTTGTCATTCAAAATGAAACCCATGTTTATACAAAATGGCAAACCAAGAAGATCGTCTCTTGGTATCAGTACTTTGAGTTATTCGATGCTTTGCCCCGTTTATCTCCTTTACCTATAACTGGGAGGCCTCTGTTGAATATCGCTTGGATAATAAGAAGCTTTCATCTGGGAAAGTGTGTGAATATTCTTTCTAATTATGTCCCAATCGAACTAAATACAGTTGTCGAGAACCGATAGAAGCCCAGAGTTTATTCCGATGTGTTCTGCACTTACCTCGGATCAAGGTACTTACGCATTAGATAGAAGTAATGTCCACCAGATTAGGAAGGTAATGGCATTTTATATTAGCTACTAGATGTATATTATTTACATATTTTTGTCGGAAATTCCTTACACACTGGGGTTTGGCTTGGGCTTTGCTTTAACTGACATCTAAGTATACATCGTCATTATCAATCCATCCCTTTCCAATAGCCTTGCCGCAACACTAGTGCTCGAAGCATAATGTAGCTAGGAGAATGCGACAGTACATCGGTTGTGATAAAACGATCTTAAGTATCTATAACTGCTAAGCTTTACAACATTCATTCATTACGCTCAGTGGATAAGAATCATTATGACACGTAAGTTTGCAATATACGCAATTAACAGCATCCTGTGGAAACATTTTAAAAGTGTTACATGTGGAATTTCTGCACTGAATTTCTGACTGCATCAGTTACCACATCGAAAATTCTTTTTTGGAATATGATATAATAACTACTAACAAGCTTTCTGAAAGCCCTTCGACAGCCCATTATCGGTTTCACCATTCTTGAGGCTCATCAAGTAGGCACAGTTCCTGGGTTTTCGCCAACTTTATTTTTTACTTGGACCCAAATGGTAATGATTCCGAAAAATACACTTAGTTGCATACAAATTTGATTTCCATTGGAGACCCAACTGAATTTCGTTTATGATATTCTTCAGCTGAATCTAATTTTCCCATAGAGAAGACAGCTCCACAAGAGATTTACAGAATGACAAAAATTACACCGTTTCTCTCTTAAATTTCTACTGGCTCATGGGTAATCAGACATTTCACAAAGAACGGCCTGAAAAATTTAGGAACTTGGTGCCCCTCGGGATTCGCTAATGACTTATGCAAAGGCGTCGATACATCCTCCTTGTGGAAGTTTTTGATTCCGCTCGAAGAAATATGAACTAAAATCACCATGTCTGACCAGATGCTAATTAATCAAATTTCAAATGTATAAAAAATATATAAATATAGGAAAAATGATTAGGAAAACTGAGTAATTCGAAAAAATGTTTTAAAAGGAATGAAACGATTGCTGCGTGATTCATAACTTGTATTGCGAGTTTCAATTCTATTTCTGCGGTTTCATCAACATGAGGAAATTTAAGAACATGTTCATTCGTCAGTGCCACGCTGCGGTAAAAAAACCAAAAGTGTATTTCTCAGGCAAATGAATTATCCCCCTAGGGTAACAACCTGGACGAGAAAAATTATATAATTCAGCAACAATAACATAACCGGAAAAACCTAAACGTGTTATTAGGATATTCCTGTCTGATTCCCCTAAGGAAATGAAGGTATAACGGTAATGTTGTTAATAATATAAATGGCTTCAAAACCTGTATTTAAAAGGGTAAAGCACAGCACATATGAGTCACCGTCGTTTGTAATCATTAATAGTACATTCATCACGAATTTCTGGGCAGATTCGAAATAGCCGCCTCTCGGATAGTAACTACACATCCAATCGTCCGGCCACAAGCTTCATGATGGCACATGTATTAGCATGTTGCGCTATCCCACATTGTCGGGGACGCTTTGGGTGGATGGAGTCCTTTTTGAGTGCTCGGTTTGTTTTAGTACAGCAACGTACCGTATCCCAAAGCCTCCCAGCTGAGAACAGACAAGCCGTACTTAGATGCCCTATTTAGTCCTTCAATGTGGACGGCCCAAGATTTGGAGCAGATTTCAGATAAGATTACATTTATCCTTGACAGTGTTACCAGTTCAAAAGAGTTCTATACCCACGAATCGGTGTTTTCGTTTGACAAACGTGACTCCACACAGAGTGCATTTGAAGCTAATTCCGAACCCGAATCCCGCTAGATTGCATATCAGAATACAGTGTATTCATTGTGCCCGTGCATACGTGATTCACCATATCAACCAAATATCGTACCGGATTATGAATTTTCTACATTTGTGTAATGGAACTTGCTAATCCTATAGGGTGTTGGCTACCAAGATAGCAGAGAACTTTGCAGAGATCTATTATACAGGGCGATAACAAATGACTGATGAATATTTTGAATCGGTGGTTCAAGCTGATAAACTCTAGCTATGTTTAAAAAGAAAGAGAGATGCCTTAAGCCTGAAGCCGAATCCAATCCATGTAATTAAGATTCAGACCGAAAGTATGAAGGCGCAGACTTTTACAAACAGCGGCACACAGCTCTCGGCTTCGGCCGAGCGACACTTTGAATTGGAAAAATAACCATCTAGTTGATGATAAAATGATAAACCATTTTCTGTGTAGGGGAACATTAGTGTGCATTCACATGTTAATCATAGACTGAGCGAAACCGGAGAAAGAATACAAACATGCCTACCCTGATGTCAATCTCATTTGCGCTTGGTGCGGATTGGGAAGACCATAACCGACTTTTTTATCCTTTATGAAGTTCACGTTAGCTGCTGCATAGTACAAAAACAGTGCTTCCCGGTTTACTAAACCGAAGGATATGGTGACGTTCATAAACAGCCCACAACATGTTTGTTTCCATCAACGATATTAATTATGGATTTTTTCTACGTGGTAGTTGAGATCAACTGTAATTCAGCCGCTTCAGAATCCACGCAAGCATTCAAGGACTGTCTCTTCAAAAACACCAATCGACTGAAGAGAAAGCACGCCTTTAAAGCCTGCAAATGAAGGCAAATTTTAAGTCTTTGTTTTTGGGGGATAAATAAAATACCACGGAAGTCTGTCCAAACCAACAAGGCCAATTTCAGGGCACTTATTACAAAAGACCCGTGGAATCTACATTATGGTGTGAGTGGTGATCATGGACAATCATCAGACGATCCGAATATGCGGATTCTGTGGATCACCTTTCCAAAAACTGTCATTTTTCCCGAAAAAGTATTATAGTCACCTTCGTAAATATGGAGTTTAATGGTCGCCTAAGGGAAATACCTCATTCCTCTTTATTTGTCTTAGCGCCAAAAGCACACATTTCCTCCTAACCCTTCGAAATACGATTTCAGGTGATACTGAGGCTCAGAACTATTGTTTTCAACGACTGTCTGGTATCGACAGCAGATGGGCTGTTGTTTGAAGCCATAGCGTTAATAAAAAAAGGCGTTGATATATGACCATCATTCAGCCGATTCTAATGCGTCAACGCAATTCGGGACCTCCTCGTTAGGCTCAGAACTATTGTTTTCAACGACTGTCTGGTATCGACCAGCAGATGGCTGTTGTTTGAAGCCATAGCGTTAATAAAAAAGGCGTTGATATATGGCCATCATTCAGCCGATTCTAATGCGTCAACGCAATTCGGGACCTCCTAGTTGATTGCGAAGCCGGTAAAACTAGTCATTAAGGATTTTCTTGACAAACCACTTGATTTTTCCAAGAAGTGTGTAGATATGTTGAAAAAGAAACGATTTGGGCTGTACGTTACCAAGATTTTTGTTTAGTTGGTACAATCCGATACTAGGTGGTCACCAAACAGCCAGTGAAAAGAGTATGCTTCATAAAAAATTCGTCCCATGCCGCCGCCTGTGACCAAAATAGAGCGATAAGTGCCATTCGGAGGTGAAGAAACGTCCATCCTAATGTCTATCATTTAAACAATTAATGAAGCTGGTGTACTAGATCTATTCCTATCTGCTGCATAAAGCAAAATGTATTTTAAGAACATGTCCATCATTAGCCTGGCCATCGTTCTTGAGAAAACATGAATTAATTTCTCCTCGTGCACTAGCACAGGCGATGCGTTCAGTTAACTAACCTGTGTTTTCTGAGTGTTATGGTGACCTACTGATGAGTTTGTAGATCGATGTTAGTTGAAAATGAATGCACCTGGTGTGCGAATTGCTCGGGCAACCTGATGTCAATGGTCGTCCACGTAAGCAGCACCCAAAATGAAATTTCAGTAATTTCGTCACTAGAGCTAATGTGTTGACAAATGGGGATTTGAAAATGTCTATTGATTGGAAGGTCGAATGAAACATTGTTCGATATTCGGAACAGTAGTCTTATATACTGTCATTGGAGATATTTACAAAGCGGCAGATAGTTTCAAGCGAGGACTATATTGTACACCAGGTCGCACATGAGTGAATATTCTTCGCGGAGTGCGGGAATGTCAACGCAAGATATAACAATTATTCGGAAGCCGAAACTTTAGTAGCAATGCAGTTGAAAAGGCGTTATTCGTGCAAGCCGACAACAACTTTCTATCGCAGAGACACAGTGTTTTACAGATTCATGCTTCCAGCTCGCATTCTCTGTTACCAGACTCCTTGGCTACTTTCTTTGCTTGTTTGATCACAGTCGTTGTTTGATGGAAATCCCAGATGACAGAAAAAAATCTCACCTGATTCTTTGGACGCCAGACAAATATTTTTCACTGCTCAGATTTTCGCATTAAGTTTTTTCCAATGAATGCTTCCCACAACGGCAATATACCAAACCACTGTATAAATATCACTTAATGAAAGCGATTTGGTGTGGCTGATCTAAGGGGCATTGATAGATAAAAAATGCAAAATCGCACCTGACTAAAATAGGTACCAGTTTCTCATACATTACGAACGATAAAGTTGTAAAATAAGGAAAGACAGACAGTGAGAAATAAAGTGAATATCCGTTTAGAACTGGCTATTTCCTAGCTTGTGCAGTTTCCAAAAGATTCGTCATAAAGGCAGTGACCACAAAAAGGTTGTATCCAAGGAGCAACAGTACTTTGACCGAAGTAGAGAAGGTAACTCGATGTGAATATCCAATTATGAGGCAGCCAAGTAAAACAGGCACTAATCAGGTACATAAGCGAGATGGTCAACTAAATTAGGACCACTTAGCAAAAGTTGGGAGATAACCGCTAGGAAAAATGTACCCCTTTGATTCCATCAAACGAATAGAACAGAGTAACAAAATAATGTGTTACACAGCAAGATTCAAAGTAAAATCTTTCCCTTGTGTATGGAGACTCAGTTAAATGCCATAAACACCGTGAGTCTGACGCTGTGCGTCAAGTTAGCTAAATACACATTATTATGTCGCAAGTACCACATTTCCAGTATATTATTTCGCACAATATGCCACACTCAGTACGTGTGCTATTGTGTAGCGAATGAACCATTATTTCACCTGGCTCCGAATTAAAGATGCTGAATTACCAACCATTCATTTTATGGTCTGTATAAATCTAAACGGATCTTCCCCCTTAATATTCTTAGCCTTTCGGTAACGCCCATTCTTGTGTTACTTCCATAATATCAATATTTTTGCTATTGTTGCGATTTTTTCGTTACCGCAAATGCTGATCATTTGAATGGGTTCCGTTATTCTTGCAAGTGACGCTGATGATCTGATTTTATTGACTGTAGTACTCAGCTCTCCTCAGAAACCTGAATGATTTATGTGAGTGGCGCAGTGAACATTTTTTTAGAGGAAAACTGCCGTCGGATTAAGAATGAAAGTGCACATTTCTAAGCACACACTTTCTAGAAAATATTTCCCGGGATAAATTGCTGAATTCGGCAGAACCTGGTTCACTCATGAGATATGGTTGCTAACGGCGTATAGTAGCCGGTGGGAGGCTTTGAAAAATTAATCACAAATTTGTGAAATCGTAAATTTAAAAACGTGACTTGTTTTTAAATGAAACTGATGTTTTGTTTGCCAGTACGTTTTGTCCGTGAATGTTCAGATTTTATTTTGAACGGCGTTTGCTTTTGTTTGTCCCTATGCCTACTTATGTTGAATAATACTTGTGTGAAAGGAAAAGATAAGCGTCACATTATTGGAACCTAAAATGCTCTGATTACTACCAAGGGTAAAGGCCGGTCGTCCAGAAGTTTGAAGTAACCTAATGGTGCCTTAGTACAAGTTGGGTATGTATAATAGCCTGTTTCCATACGGATTGCTCCTATTTTAGCGTGTGCTGTCGTTTGTGTCTTTGTCTTTTTGGCGGCTTTTAGCAAATTATCAACTGCTGGAATGTTCTGGTTTGCCGGGCACTCCCTTCATTTTCAATAATTTACATAAAGGAGTAAAGTCAATGAACGCCTAAACATCCCCTGCTTCATCCGTCAGAAAGTATATACACGTTCGTTTCAGGCAATGCACTGCGTGTCTCATATAGAGTAGTGTTTGTGAGAATAAGTGTTATGCTGTGTATGAGTGACTCTTATAAATCATCCTCCAATGGAAAACAATAGATAATGGTCATTAAAACCAAATGCAATGAGCACAACATGGACGATATACGACGGATATCTAGCTTAATATATATCAAAATCCATTAGCACAAGAAAACAAAAGATTACTTGCCTATCATCGCCATACATGACGATGAGAATCCTACACTAGGAATAGTGCGCCGACTAAATTTAGATGCTGCGAAACCTTAAAATCAGAGCTACCAGTCTCACCACAAGGATAGATATTTTAAGTGGTGTAGGATAGACTGTATAAGTTAAACGGGTGTTCTGGGAGGGGTTCTATGTTACTCTGGACGACAACTGGTGATAGGCTGCATTTGCCAAAAGAAGCCACTGAAGAAATTGGCCTTGGTCTAAAATGCATGAACCAACTCTATAATGAAACGAGTAATCCACTAAGACCAGAAAATACTTAAAGAGCATACCGTGGCCTTCGCCACGAAGTCTATCACTAGCGCACACTAACCAAAGGGTTACAAACTACTGGACAGGAAAGTAAAGGTCAAATATGCGGCTTATTTTTAAAAATTGAACGCATCACGCCTCTTCTTAAACGTCTGACATTTATATGGCTTGCTAAAATCCGCAGACCAGAAATAGTCTCGTTCAATACACAGTTATTTAAAATTTGAGAACGTCGCACCACATTTGAC